TGGGGTTGAGGTTGGTTTTTAATGTTCTGAGAGCCCCTTTTTGATGTGATCCCGGGGGGTGGGGGTTTCTCTGATGTGGTTTCCTGACGCTCCAAGAGCTGCTGATCCGCCCCTTCCTCGCTCCTGAGGTGGAGCCCAGATTATTTTTAGCTCTGCAGGCCTTTCATTTTCCCACCTCGAGCCCTCCCATCCCGGTCATCCCGACCCTGCTGGATGAATTTCTGATCCTGGGAGCTCCTGGGATGTGGAGATCCAGTTGGAATTCTTCTCCACCACCTCCTGGCTGAGTTCCCTGCGCCCTTGGCAGCCCCACATCCCAAAAAAAGCCCCCCAAAGCTCCCCAAAATCCCTGGGGATGGAGCTGGGAGCACCCTGGATGGATTTCCTGCCCAGGGAGAGGGGGGATCCCATGTGGGGGTCAGGATGCAGCAGCACAGGGGGACCTGCAGCTTCTGGGTCACCCCAGAGGGGATGGGAATCGCTGTTGTGGGAGAAACAAAATGGGAGTCGCTCCTGGGGAGGATGCAGCCTTCATCCTCCTCCTTCTCCTCTTCCTCCTCCTGCTTTTCCTCCTCCTCCTCCTCCTTCTCCTTCTCCTTCTCCTCCTCTTTCTTCTCCTCCGCCTTCTTCTCCTCCTTCTCTTTCTCTTTCTCCTCCTCCTCCCCCTTTCTCCTCCTCCTCCCCCTTTCTCCTCTTCCTTCTCTTCTTCCTTCTCCTCATCCTTATCTTTTTCCCCCTCCTTTTCCTCTTCTTCCTCCTTCTCTTCCTCCTCCTCCTTCTCTTTCTCCTCCTCCCCCTTCTCTTCTTCCTCTTCCTTCTCCTCTTCCTCCTCCTCCCCCTTCTCTTCTTCCTCTTCCTTCTCCTCTTCCTCCTCCTCTTCCTCCTCCTTTTCCTCCTCCTGCTCCTTCTCTTCCTCCTCCTCCTCTTTCTCCTCCTCCTCCCCCTCCTCTCCAGAGTGTGGTGGTTTAATTTTCCAAGGCAAACAGAACCCCGAGCTCCCTCTCCCTCCCTCCCAGGGCTCCCGAGGCTGGTCCAGAGGGAGAAGGAGGTCACGAGGTCAATCCAGGATTTTAAGGAGCCTTCCCGGCACTTTCCACCCTCTTTGACCCCCCTGGAGGAATCCCAAAGCTCATCCCTGGGATTCTGGAGGAGCCTCTGCAGCTCCTGGGAATCCCCAAAACCCCTGGGACACGAGACCTCCCAGCTTTCCCTGTCCCCTCCTCCCTCACCATCCTCACATTTTGGAAGAGAAATTCCAGCTCATTTTAATAGTCCCAGATCCAGGGCCTATTTATTTATTTATTTATTTATTTATTTATTTATTTATTTATTTAAAAGGTTTATTTATTTATTTAAAAGGTTTATTTATTTATTTCAAATGTTTATTTATTTATTTATTTATTTATTTCCAAGGTTTCCAAAATCCACAGCTTCTCTGGGAAATCCATCCCAGCCCTTCCCCACCCTCCCAGTCAGGAATTCCTTCCCAAAATCCCACCTAACTCCCTCCCTGATGTCCCCAAACCCTCCCTGGTGTCCCCAGTTGTCCCCAGACTCCAGGTGACCCTCAGTGTCCTGATGTCCCACGAGTCCAGCTGTCCCCAACCCCTCCCCAGGTGTCCCCCTCCACCCCCCCCGCTGTCGGTGTTTCTGTGGCAATTAAACATCCCCACATTCCAAATCCCCGAGAAACGGGGCCACACTTCCCACCCCCCTGCTCATTTCTCTCCTTTTCCGGGGATTTTTTAACTTCTCCGGGAATTTTTTAACTTTT